TATCAACCGGCTGTGATTGACACTTACTAAACTTACAGCTCCAGGATCGTTCTTTTATATGTGCAGTTGAGAATGTGAGACTATTGTTTCATATATTTTAAGATTGCTAATGATTCAAAATCGAACTGAAATATTCAAACTGTGTTAATCATTTTATACACACTGAGAATCGCATTTGACTGTTCATCACCAAGTTTTTCTTTCTAATTATTGTTTAATAATTAAGATAAAATATAAATTAGTGACAAAAAATAAATTCGTAAAAGAAATGAAGAACATTAAATAAAGAATAATTCTGTTTTAAGAGCAAATCAATCATGTTGGTAACAAAATTTAAATACGAATGGAATTATTCAGTTATCGATCGACATATTTAACACGCCCATTTTTCAAATAATGTAATTTATATAAATAATTAAGCAATATACTTTATATTAATAATTAATGAATAAATAATTAGTTAAGTCATTATTTAATAATTAATTAATATTTAATTAATATTTAATAATTATTAATTGTTAATAATCAATTACAATTATTGTGAATAATAAATAATAATTATTAATAATTATTAACTTTTATCGATCATTAGGTATTAATGTTTTATTGTAATATTCTTCGTTGATTAAAATAAAGCTTTATCAAACATCTAGCTTGAATTTCGAACTAGACTTAAGAAGCTGTTCAACTTTATTTTTTCCAGATGTCCGTAATCTAAAAATATAGATATACGGCCTCAGTTTGTATCATCTTCACGCATTGGATAGGAATATAATATAATATGCATACTGTCTTCTTTTTTCTCCTCACATATAAACAGCATTTTTTATCGTTCATTTAAATTTTAAAATATTATCTGAGAGAAAATTTAGCGCATTTTTTTTTTATTTTTTAAATATATTTTTGAAACACATATATATGAGATAACGCGTAGTTGTTTATAAAAACGGCTGATTCATAATCGATTTCCTTATTTATATTTTCGTGTTATACGATTTAATTTATGCTAATAGGATTCAAAATAAAATCGACTGTTTATTTTTAATTTTAAATAAATTGTATATAATTACACACTAATAACTCGTATCGGTTCTAAAAAGTTTAATTTAATGCATTGATTTATTTATTAGAGCCTTCGAATTATTTCATCGGCATAATCATGAGTTTCGGATTCGATTCCACATATATTTCGATTTTATTGTAGAAAGTTTACTAGAAAAGAGAAACAGGAAATCACTCTGGTTGTTATTCCTCAAATGTCGCTATATAGAAAAAAAAATCTAAAAGAAAAGATCAAAATGCTTCTGTAATTCTGTAATTCTGTCTTTTAACGACAATTTAATATTATTATATTGTCGTTGTACAGCTTTTTTGTCATATATTTATAACATTCTACAACAAACCATCATTTTAACTTAAATCTTAAGTCATAAGAAATTGACTAGTTATAATCGAGTGTGAGAAAATTGAATTATAATTGATCAATTTCTTACGACTTACTTAAAGCTTAAGTAGATAATAGCTTATTGTAGAAAGTCCCTAGTATACCTGCGCAACGATGCCGACATTGTCGTTAAAAGTTACAGAATCGAGGTACTGATTCCAGGTCAGCCTCTCAGGGGGCAAGTCACATAGCCACAAAACAGCTCTCTCTAAAGAAATTGTGACCTGATATGCCACACTGAAGAAGAAAAAAACAGATATATGAAACACAAGTTGGAAAAGTGATCCAAGCACATAAGGTTTTTACAATTCACTGTATTTTCTTCATTTTATATGATATAAAATTTATGTGACATAAAAAAATTTTATTTTAAATTATATATCAAATAAGTTTTACGAAGCTTTAAATTACTTGATTATAACTGATAATACATAAATATTAACATTGTACAACACTAATCAAATTCTTATATGACTTATAATATACGTATAACAATTATAATCACATATTTAAATTATAATACTTGATTGTAATACAGTTATATGATTACATTTGCAATAATCTTGTATCTGCTTTTATTTAATATTTTAAAAATATTTTTTTAACAATTCATTTTTAGACTTTTAGGTGTTGGAATTAATTCGTAGCGTTTTACAAGTGATGGGAAGTACTTTCATTAATGTATTTTTTAATGCTCATGTGAAATAAATAACATTCTTTCATTAAAAAACGCTACGAATTAATTCCAACACCTAATATATATGTTGCATATTATGATATATATAAATATTATTAGTACTTTTTAATATGATCATATGTTCCTTATGACGTATCTTTTTTTTAGAAAAAGACAACATAATATTTTATAATTATTAATCTATTATTGTCAATGAAAAAATAAAATATATTTTACGAGTTCATTATTGTAACATCGAAAAAAAAAAACAAAGTATTTCATTTATACGTTTAACGAGATTAACAAAAATTGGATCATGACTTTCTATACTTCACACAGGCTAAAAATAATTCGCAGCTTTGAATAGTAAATTGCTCGTCGAAGTTGGTCACCGATTATATAATTATGCTTAACGTAACCGAATGTAGCAAGTCAGCATCATCACGCAACAATTAAATAACGCATATTAGATACTTTTTCTTGATTACGCATCGATATTTTAATTTCATCTGTGAGCTTAATTTGAATAGAAACAGCTCGAAATTTGTTACGAGACAAAAAGATTATTTTCAAATAAAAATAATAATTAAAAATAATAATTATTCTTTTTATTATTATTAAGCAAAATCAATATATGTATATCAATATATTTTCTTTTCTTTACTTTGCAGCCGTGTTGATGTATTGTAATGTACGTTTTTATTGTAGCTGTATTTCACTGCCTATGTATGTCACAAATTATAATTAAATTTTTCTAATATAATTATTGTTATATTACTACTTTCAATTCATACATGAATCTGTACAATTTACAAACAGAAAAAGAAACAAGAAAATATTATCGTGAAAGGAAACGATTGTCAATTGGGCGATTAATCTCGCTGGTTCTGCACATAATTGCCCAACTGTTCCGTTCATGATACCAGAAATTTTCAATGCATCGAACGGTCGGTTGGCCTGCTGATTGGTTGGTTGCATCGTGTTGGTGATTATATCACATACACATTCGTGAGCAATTTGGCAACGTCGCTAAAGCTTCAGCCCTCCCCCCTTCCCTCACTCCGCCATGCCACGCCGGTAATGCCGGTACGACTGTGGTGCTTAGCAACCAGTGAGGTCAACAAACGAGGTCATGTTATATATTAACCTCGCCGCGAGAAAATATTACCGTACTGTTGATAAACTATTACCACGCTCGCATGTACTCTTAGCATGTTATAATTACCTTTCAAGTAATTATAATATCTGATGTCCATGCAGGAAAAAAATTAAAATATCAAAGAGAATTATTCATCATATGACTTGAGATAGGAGTAATATTTCTCTCAATATTACTTTTGCGTCGCAAAAAAATAATGTATGATATATCGAGCTTACAGAGTAAAAAGAAAACGTAGAAAAAAGAAAATATAATGAAATGTTGTAATTTTTTTAATAATTTTAATATTCAACGTGAAAAGAAATACTTTTTTCAGTCTTTTCCGTTCGTGAAAAAATGGCTATCGTTAAAAATTTTCATGCAATGTGATTCGAAAATATTTTAGATTTTTTTAAAGAAAAAACGTAAAATCCAAGATCACAAATAGTTTCTGCAGTAATGGATTTTAATAATACGTGCCTGTAATATGTGGCCTGTAAAGCAAAGTATATAAAAGAAAAATAAGATGAAGACAGCATCCTATACAAAGAAAAAGGAATTTATGAATTTGTATTATAACAATCCACAAGTTTATTGGTAGTAATAAATGGTTAGAAAGTTCTAGGATAGAGATGGATCTTTGGAGTAGATGCGGGATGAGAGGAAGAACCCGGGAGCGAAGAAATGGAAGCGAGGAGATGAAGGTATTCGAAGCAGTGGGGTAGGTCTCTCCCACATCCCCCACTACGTTCCCAAGCATTCGCTCTCTGTTGAGTCGGTCGTTTCTGCTGTTCCATCACGTAGGATGAGGACAAGCAAGCGTACCAGCAACAGCAGCGACCGATTGACCAGCAACAGCGACACAGGCGTAGTACGACCGTGGAAAATTCCACTATTTCTCCTCTGCCCTTCGCAGCAGGAGTGGAAGAGGGGAAGAGCTATTATTTTTATTGCGCGCTCTGCGGGCGCATTAACCTACGTTGCAGTTGAGTAATGTTAGCTTGTACTCGGTTATTGCCGTTGGCTATACAAGCCAACATGCACCTACATACTGTGGCTATATATTTATGTTATTATGCCGTATATACAGCGCGTTACCTCACGTGATTATTCAGAAACTGGAATACAATATACGTATTATGTCATATTTAAATATTGAATGCAAATGTTTGATATAATTTATACGACTAAGTTAGTAATGGTCATATTATTCTGCTTTTGCAGCAAGCTATTAATATTCATTGAATATTTTTATATTATATTCCCTTATAATAAAGCAGACATTATAGAGTTTGTAACAGCTGTGTATGTGTGAAATGAAAAATTTTTTCCACTACATTCATTTTATTCATATTTTCTTCTATAATAACAAGAAAGTTTAATTTATTTTTAATAAGTTTGTCCAGATTCAGATAATAGAGTTTTAAAATATTATTACATAATTTATGTTTAAATTTGCACATTAATATTGATAATGAATACAAATTACAACCTCTATATTACACACGGTATTATGATAAGCTCGAACAAATTGTGAGATACAGTAATGAGTCTCGTAATTACAAATAACGAAACGTCGAGAATTCACATGTCTTCCTTTCTCTTTATTCGAGGGACGTAACTTGAACAAAACTCATCAAGAAGAAATCGAGCTTAAAATATTGTGCGCAACTGTGGTAAAATCGGTTTGAGGGGAAGTAACAGAGGGAAATGGTGGGTCAATGTACGTTATACGAAGCGTCTTCCATCTCTTTTTCCTTCATCCTTTATTTCCCTCTCACTCCTTTCCCCCAGTCACAATCTCCTCTTCCACCTCTCTTTTCCTCCCACTTCTCATGCCAAAGTTACGCCGCTACTATATCGTGATAATCTTGCCTGCTCCATAAAGGGGATTACCTTCTCTGCGCCAAACTAACGCAGTCATTGCTCATAGTATGGAGTTTCTACTAGCGGTAGAACGGAAGTGGCGAAGAGTGGGGGATGGGAGGGATCGATAATCAAGTATTTCTCGGAATGTAAATACTAGTGGCAACCGGGTGCATATTTGACCACCCAATTGTATGCATACAGCTTTACAGCGCAGAATCGCAGCAACGTCTGACTGGTTGATTACACCGCTTTGATTAACTTTTAAATATTTATTATTGTATTAACAGACAAAAAGCATCAGACTATTTTCATATCATTGTCATAATGTAAAACAAATGAGCGAACAAATAATATGACTAATAATTTTTGTATACAATTAAGTGCAATTGTAGACGATGAGCGAAGCGTTGCGACTGGAGGTGGTCTCTCTTTGACAGACTTCTATTCACTGTAAGTGATGACGTCATTAAGTTGATTAGCTTAACAAAGGGCGCACAAAATATTTAGTTAAAGGTTATTTTTAAGCTGTGTAACTATAATTCTAAAAATATATACTTGGTTCCATTTTGAACAGTTTTACACGCAAACGCGTCGTATTTCTTTTCTTCTGTTTCAGGGAAACATGGCATACAAATAGTTCAGATCTCAATTATTCTACTGATTCCCAAAGTTTTTGTCTGAAGTCTGTCGAGTTAAAAAGAGCTAATCCCCAAAAAGAGGAACGTTCTAAAAATAAAATCCAGGTATTGTGCTGCATGAAGTCTGGGACCGAGGTTCGTTACGATCAATAGATGGCAGATTCGGCCGTTTTCGACAGGTTCCGTTAAGTTCCCCTACTATATTCGTCCTCATCGACCTCTAACCATTACCGGCCACGCCTTGCTCACGTGAATTCCACAAGCTAAACTGATTATTCAGGATACAATTACACTATTTGTGCACTATAGATTTCCCTCTTCAAATTAACTTTTGGAAAAAATATGGCTCGCTTATCTTTTCAGTTTGTATACATTCATTTTTAATAAGATATCAATTTTTCTCTCGAATAAAATATTTTTTAAACAAATATTTCAAACGAAAATTTTAGAATTTTAAACGAGTAATGTAGTACATAATGCAATTTTTTTAATTATATTTTGTAAAATATCAATGCAATCAATATTTTATAAAATAGAAACGTTTAATTTTCCTGTTTAATACAATTTCTATCATTAAATTATTCTGCAAATAAAAATTTAAATATGAAGTTACAAAATTAATAGATAGGGGATATTTTTTATATGATAAAATATGAAAAGTAATCGATTTTTTAACAATTTTCATATTTTATTATATACAAAATAACTAGAAAAATGAAATTGTATGAAAAAGTTATATAGCTTCATTTTTTTTTATTTGAATGTATCTCACAAAAACACGTTATAAAAAATTTGCATGCGTATACTATCCTAAAATTGTAAAATTTATATTTGATATTTCAGAAATTTATTTTTTCAGGAATTTATTTCGAGACAAAAATCGATATATTTAAAATGAATCAGCCTGTATATATATGTATATATATATATATATATATATGTATGCATGCACAAACATCAGATATATTCTATGACTGTATTATAAATACAATTGATTATTCATATTATGCATATATGAACTTCTCAGACATTAAATACCGTAATCAGTATTCTTGAAATAAAAAAATAAGGAAACTTAGCAAAGTTATAAATTAATCACGCTACTCTTAAGATTAGCTTTGATAAGATTAAAAGTTTCACATAAAGTCGAGTAGAGTTAACTTAAATTGATTGTATTAAAAGAGAAATATATTTTACGCGATAATAAATTATACTTTATACAAGATGAAACCAACTGCGAGAAATTTAATTACAGTAAAGAGTAAAGTACGACGCATCTCCATCATGACGGTATGTTGCCAGCTTTGAGTCGCATAGGCTGGTTGGTATTTCCGACACGGACTGTATGGATCAATGTCATAACGACTACGTGATAATATGTCATAACAAAAGAAACAGGTGCAGTTTTAATTTCCAGGGAACCAGAAGAACAATCGCGAAATTATGGATATAAATCGTCAGCGGTGCTTTTAAGTACAATGGATGACAGACGGCAATTGGACAGTTGGCGTTGACGGTTTTGCTGGGGAATTGCATGGAATGAGGGATTCAGTTGAAAGCCACGGGCATTTGGTGGTACGAGTGCGAGCGAGAAAGAAGAGAGGAATGGTGGAGAAGGAGGAGGAAAGGGAAAGGCGAAGACGAAGGGAGGGGAGAATGGTAGGAAAAGCGGGAGAATGGTAGGAAATGCGCAGAAAGGGGACGACTGGCACAGAATAGTTTAACAGGTTGTGGTTACGAGTGTTCGCTGTCTCCCATTGGTTCCCCACCCGTACTTGAGTACACGTTAGGTTAACTTAATTTTCATTCGTGCTCCCACCACTACCGCTTTCTCCCTTTTCGCGTCGCCCTTCCTTTTTCTTAGCATCATCTCCTTCTATTTGTTATTATCCGTTCGTCCGCTTGCCTTGGACTGCCTCACTGACCGCCGTCACGTCGAAATACTTTTTATATTTGCTGGGTTCCTTGCGAAAGATCTGAACACTGATGCATCATACACGTGCGTAAGTATACATCACGCATATGTACATGTAAAAGCATAACAAGAACCTCCCTCCCCCTCCCCGACGCGGCAAGAGCAAGTAGAAGAGAGGAGGGGAGGGAGCAGCAAGAGAACAAGAGAAAGAGAGAGAAGGGGAGGGGGGGGGGAAGATAGGGAGGAATATTGGATGGTGGGAGATAGGAGGGGAGGGAGAGTAATAATCCCGCCGTCTGGAACGGCAAACGGCGCACGCTACCTCACGAGCGCGCGCGCGCGCGCGTCTTTACAAAACGACGTATCTGAAAAACTCTGAACTCGTCCTCAACAATTCATACAAGAGTTAATTATCCTGCCGCTCGTGCGCGATCGACGTCACCTACATCTTTTGCTACTACCCCCCATATCGGGTACCTCGGTACTAATAATAAACTTCAGACTGGACGCGGAACAGGGCGACGGATCATAGCCGTGGCTGCCGCCGGGGAATGCACATCACGTCACTGATCCCGTTTGAACTGTTTGAAGCGAAAACGAGTGTAGTAGTGCCGTGTATACACGGACCGACCACAGAAGTGATCATGTCATGATACCGTCGCGTCATGTCGTAATCATGTGTAAGAGAAAATTTACTCACGAGCAAAAGCGCGGGAGTAATCGTATTCGCGTGACGGCATCTAGGCAAGGAAGATCGATCACTTTTTTTCTTTTATGTTGATCCGCAGCTGCGACGCGGCTGTGGTCCGTGCGACGAAATGAGAGGTCTCGATTCTCTCTCTCTTTCTCTCTCTCTCTCAGTTCTCACACCCGCTGTCTCCCGCCGAATGCGCCAAGAAAGCGCGCGTAATTAATTGACTTTACCTACCGTTGAACATTGTTTGCGTTTACCGATTCGAAAGGTTATTAAAGAAATGTCAAGTCGCCGGTGTCGCGTATAGTTTATCTCAATCTTCTTCTTGTGCTCCGGTTTGTTATGAATCCAACGCGGTCATTCGTGCGGCTACCGAAAGACCGCCCGCTTCTCGAATTGGGGATTCAATTGAGAATAATCACCAAATTTCGGGTTTCAATGAGAGCAACCGGTGATAGTGCGCGCGTATTAGTATTGGCCAATAATCGCTGATAGTACGCGATGTTCGTGCCGATTATAGCGTCCGAGATTGTTCACCCAAGGATAAGCCGATGTTGACAACAATGTCTGTAAGTATAAAGCTTGCCGCAGTATACAAACGCGTTACTTGCGAGAAAACTAAATAGGAAAATTGCAAATCGTTATAAAACCTCTCGCTATAAAGCGAGACTTTAACTACCTGCGTGCCTGTTTATATTTAATAAACTTGTGCAGATTTGATGTAATCGGATGTTGTATAAAAATTTTCCGTCTGCTCGATAAAACTCCGAGTATTGCTTATTTATTCGCAGATTGCGAAAATGAATAATCCGATTGTATCACGATTTTCAGGAATTTAAATTTTCTGCAAAAAATAAGATGTATGAGGACGGCGCTGTGGAGCTGTTGCAAAATTTCGGTACGTGTTTTGTATAACAATAATCAGTTGTAACATAGACTAATACTAATTCTATAAAGTATAATTCTGTACAGACTGACATATAAATATGAAACACCATATTCTTATGTCAAATTTTGAATAATTATAATATTTTTGAAAGATTCCAACTTTAAAAAATTTAAATATTAAAATATTTATATTTATATAATATTATATATAAGTACATATGATACTTTCTTTTTAATTTAAATCTTATAATTATTACTAGCTACTTAAATGAATTCATTATTGCTTAATTTAAATATATATTCAAAATTTCATATTTAACAAATCAAAATTATCCGTAATAGTGAATTTTTTGATCATATTATTATCAATATCACTGTTATTCTTTTTGCAAAATTTATCTTCTCCATTGAAGTGAACTTAAGCCTGAAGTTAACTTTATGTATTATATATACTTGCTGTTTTTAACTTTGCTTCTGCTTCTTATCTGGAGATGAATCCTCCTAATATTCATTCTACGTTTTTAATAATGAAAATCTGCAATGAGAAACAATTTATATCTATCTTATCTTATAGATGTGCTGATAAATGTGTATATGGATATTACAATTGTCTTGATATTTCTCTTTATTTTAAATTATTGAAAAGAAAAAAAATTATTTTCCCTCAGTTTCTGATCAACATTATCTTCTCATGATTTTTTAATGGTATTATACTTTATAATGTTCATGAGTATTACTCTATATTACTCTGTGTTATTTTGCGAACTATTATAATTTTGTGACAAACTTTTATAACTGTCGGATTAGCAATGTATCCCCGTTTCTATTGTTTTGCACAAAGAAGTTCTATGTATCTCCTATTATCATCTCGTGTTATATGTATTTCCTTCTAAATGTTATAAAGTGATGATTATTTCATTATGAAAGACACGATCCAATAAATAATTATGAATTACAACTATCAACAGCTACAGCGTCTGATCTCGTTGTGCAAGTATCCGAGCGCTTTTCAGCAACATTTTTTTTTCTTTCACATTAATTGTCTCTTATTTTTTTATCAATCAAGATTAATATCTTAATATACATTTATGATGTATACATCTCTGATAAAACATTTCATAAATATTGTTACGTACATGACTTGGTGCATTTATACATATTAACGAGCATTAGGGTCATATTCTTTTATAAATAGAACTTTTATAAATCTTCGTTTGACAGGAACGTGTGCGAAAGTTACTCGAGTAAAACGCCGGTCATTTCGGCGTCGACCGTATAGGTTAGGAATTCACGCGGCAAGAAGGACGCGCATAATCATATCGGGCAATGAATTTCCATGACGAACACGTTCCATCGCGACTCTGCTTTTACTCCTCGTCGACAGAGAACAGATTCTCTCGCTTACCTCGCCGACGAAGACGACGTTGCCGAGCAACGAGACACCGCCGCTCGTCCGTCGCATTCTTTCGCGTTAACGGATTACCTAAGTGCGTCGCCTCTTATTTTCCACTTCCTACATGTTCAAAACGTTTCGAAACAACGTGACGAACGTTCCTTAGTTTATTAGTGATCTGTTTCCTGTTCCTGCACTGTTACTGCAGGTCTAAAAGTCTCTTTCTCCCTTTCGATAAATATCAAACATGTACCTGTTTCTTTAAATTTCAAAAGTGTACACTGGTTCAGCTACAGAAAACAGACCTTAGTATTTTCGTTCGCATCCCGAAGTCTTTGTTTTTTTTTGTGTGTGTTTTCTTTAAAATGAACACGCAAAACCCGTTCTTTTGTACCTCGGACGAACTTGAAGTTCCTTTATCTCCGTTCCTTTGTGTTCCCTCTCGAATCTTAAGATAAGTCGGGATGAGCGATCGATTAATGATTCACAGTTGAAAGGTTGAAAACTCGGTCGTTCGCAGAGTTCGGTCGGCGAGGGAAATGGGAATTGGAGACATTGAAGTGTTCCAAGTGTTCTACGAGCACTTTTCCGGAGTGCTTTCGGAACTCGCCACAGCTCGGTGTCATGATAGACGTCGCCGCGTCGCCGGACCGACCAATCGGTGGCGGGAAATCGCGCGCCGATACGAAAGCGGCCAATGCGGCGCGCGCTTTAGCCGCGTATCGATTGGCGAGTCGTGTTTTCAATTCTCGGCCGAGAGTAGCAATTATTCTTCGGCGTCAGCCATTTTGCGCGAGTAGTGGCGAGTATCGTATCGCCGATTCCTGCCGCGCGTATAGATCGCGCGCGTCGATTTGTTTACGCGGTCTCTCCATGTAAATAAATATGTATATACGTATGTAACCGGTATATCGTAACTGCGTGAACCGCGTCTCCCCCACATTCTGTGTAGGACGTGGTGTTAACTATGTGAACGCGCGCTCGCGCATAACCGAGTCAAGTCGAGGCAGAACCTCGGTGAACCTCGGCGAAGGAACAACTGGTTTTAGTTTAACGTTGATGAAGGAAAGCGCGGTAAATCACAAGTGGCTCACCGACGACGTTTCGTGACCAGAGTGACCATTTAGAGATAGATCTCTTTAGTGGTGTGACATCTCAGGTACGTTTGTTACCTGAATTCACTCTTTCTCTCTCTCTCTCTCGCTCTAGTTCTCTTCTGTTTCTTCCGTGCGTTCATCTCTTTCTCTCTCACTCTTTCTCTCCCTACCCCACTCGCAGAAACGATGTAACTTCTGCGCACCAACAAACTTTCTGACGTATACGTGAGCGCGAACAATGTGTGTGCACGCGGTGTAATGAGATTATGAGATATATAGGCGCGAATACGACACGGGAAGATGTAACCTTCTCGTCAGGGAAGATATAGTGACCGGGACCTCATGCGTTCTGTTTCAGACGTTAGCGAGGACACTCCCAACTTGTCGAACGACAGCTTAAACGATCAGCACTTGCTTTTGGATTGTGACATTTGCGGTGAGCGTTTTACCTCGAAGAAACCGCTGCGTGTCCACATCAACACTCATCTGAGGAAACTCCGTATTGTCCTCAAGAGGGTAGCGAATCCGAAAGTGGTGAAGGTGAAAAAGGAAACGTACTGGCTGGATCCAGAGAAGACCGGTTTATTGAAGTTGACCCTGAAGAAACAAAACGTAGCTGCCGAATCCTTGAAACTTACCTTGAAGAAGTCCTCGGAATCGGAAGATTTCACTGTAGTGAACAATAACTGTTATCCTGTTATTCAGTACTATCAACAGAGAGACGTGGCAGGTGCTAAGGAAAATGATCCAAGAGGTGATAAGGCAGCGGAGAACTCAATCAACGAACCTTTCGAAAACGTGATGGTGGACCAACAAGTGAGTTCTTTCTTTGTAAACTGTCTGATGTCGAGTTTGAAGAATTTTTTTTTTATTTGTGTTGTGTTTGTGTTCTCTTTGTAGGATGATTACGACAATGTCAAGTTGGATACCGACCATCAAAATCCTCTGGAAGATAATGAAAGACCGTCCACAGATATCAATGAGAGCGACTCTGATGTAGGGAGTGATATGGCAAATCCATCTGAGAAGGACGATCAAAATGTCGATGATACACCAAATACCGATAACTGTGACAGTTCTGAAAAAAGGCTTTCAGAATCTGAAGATCATGAGGATACAGACACTTTGGAAGCGACATGCAGAGAAACTATTGAAAATTTGAAAAAACTCGGTGAACAATCAAGGTAAGTTCATGGATATATAATTATATAATAATATTGGATATTAATAAATATTACATTATTGTTATTATCAGATTATCATTACATTGCTTATTTACTATAACATGACTAAGAAATTGTCATTTTAAAGTTGTTTACAAAAAGGAACAGAAACAAAAACAAAATAAGAAAGAATATTTATTCCTCTGTTATCAGTTATTACATTAAAGTTATTAAATTATAAATTTCAAAACTTATGTATTGTATGACTGAATGATAAAAAAGTTATAATGTATATATGATTTAAGATGAAAATGTCAGGATAGAATCAAAGAGAAAGCGTAAAACTTAATTTGTTTGAATTGTTGTAAAGCTTGCTTAATAATAAATTTTTAACTCGTGCAAATATGTGATAGCCTTCACATTCACTCTGTTTACACAAATTTTTATGCTGCAACTATCAGATATTTTCATATCATAATACAAGTATAATATTTTTTTCATGTAATGACTACTAAAGACGAAAGAAATTTACAATGTATAAACGTTCAAATCAAATGCAGTCTAAATTTAGTTTCTTTATAGTTCCAGATCGGCTAGTCAACTAATTGACAATTCGTCAGTAGAAGAAGAAGACGACAGAAGTGAATCTAATATAATACATAATCTTGAACAGAATCCTTCCATCAGCATTAATCCAAAGTCTTTCACATTTCCTAATCATGCAACTGAACGCACTCCGGTATGCAATAATGAAGATAAGAATAGAGAATCGACTGATGCATCGCAAACACAAAATTTCAACTGGAATCAACTATCTGATTTATCAAATAAGAGCAATGAAGACTTCAATAAGGAAGATAGTGAACAACAGGATACTTGCAACGATGCTAACATGGATAATGCTGGATCGATTTTGCAAAGCTTTCTCATTGAACATCAGAGGCGCAATCCAAATGAAGTGTCGTTGTCAAACAATATGTCATCTAGCGAAACAGCAGAGTACGTGCCCCTTGAAAAATTAGCGGAAACTGTCAACACATGTCGTGTTTGTAATGAAAAATTCAAAGACATTGCCCATCTAGATGAACACCGTAGTAAAGCCGGTCATTATCAATGTAATATACCAGAATGCACCAATCTCATCTTCCACTCTATGGTGGAGGTATCGATACATCGAGCACAGGTACATGGTACCCCACTCTCGCCGAACGTGAGCCAACTATCGCCTCATCATTTGCCGTCGAACGCAAATACATCACACTTGGGCCAAGCCACACATTCGCCTCATGCCGTTTCTGCCCCGTCCATAGAGGTATCGTCAACGAATGGTCCGCATCCACTCAGTAGGACTTCGCCCTTAACGTCGCCACATCAGACGCATTCACCGACATTTAATGCGGCTGTGGCAGCAGCGGCAACAGGCGGTGCTACTAGCCAACAAATGCAAATACCGCCGGTAAACTTTGAACAACTACCACCACCCGTACAGCAACTGGCCCAGCAAGTGCAGCGTATGCCTCTTCCACAGACGCAAATGCCCCCTAGTCTTCCTCCAGGAGCCAACACAATGATACCTGCACCAAATTATTTTGTACAACCACCAGGACGACCACCACTGTATAGAGTACCTGGACCACAAGGAATACATTATCCACCCCATATGACGCATTTGTATCAATATCCTCCTGGTCCATATCCTCAAATACCTGCACCTCCTCCACAAATGCATCCCCAAATACCCCAACAAGTTCCACGGGGACGGTATCCGTCGGCATCTGTTGTTCAAAATAGCAGGTAAGCGTAAACCTTGCATACAGACGCGAGCATTTTCATTAGGTGGTATCTTTAACTTTCAGGGCACCGAGGTTACCACAAACCACGGGTCCAGTTCCTCGTCAGCGCATGAAAAGGCCTTTGCAACCTATAACGCAACAAAATAACGCTTCTGCAAAACAGAGGCGAATGGATGTTCTATTACCTGATAGAAATGAAGATGCAGACTGCCATGTCATAGCTCAACAGAAAAGAAATGATGGACTACCTGTTATTCAAAATGTTCAAGGAGCTACCACGCAACAAACTAATAGAAATGATTCTACGATACATCTCACAGATTCAATCACTTTAAGTGTTCGGCAACCTGGTAGGTTTAACATGTCATAAGAATAAGAAATCAATCGTTTCAAGTTTTCTTACTGCTTACATTTTTTTATGTGCCTGTGTAAAGTGCCTCTTCTATGAAATTTGGTTTCTATGATTTCGTCTAATAATTTTTTCAGTTGCTTTTATGCAAACAAAATAAATACAATTTATTTACAATAATTGCATTTAGTAGAAAAAAATAGCGTTACAACTATTGTAAAATTCTTTAATATGATTGGTTCTTATCCTTAGTTCCTCACTGTATCTAAATATATAAAGTGTCGTCTTATAATGAATAGTAGCAGTAGAGGCTGTAGACACGTCGGAAGTAAACTGATTTTCAACCTAGCTAGAAATGGTTGATCGATCAACGTCAAATCGATGCTGATTCAACGTTGTTAATTCGATATTGATCAATCAATCACTTGTAGCTGGGGATGTAATAGAGCGTAGAGTAAGTCCGTAAGCGAAATGGTTGAAATCTATTTCGCTTACGGACTTACTCTACGCCCTATTACATCCCCAGCTACAAGTGATTGATCGATCAATATTGAATTAATGTCGAGTTGAATTGACGTTGAATTAACATCGATTTGACGTCGAGCCTCTACTGCTACTGTTCATTGTAGACGACGCATAAATCAATCGATTGAAAATTCTTATGACAGTTGCTATTATTTCTGCTGAAGCTAATTTTGACATTTTATTTTGATGAGCTAATGCTTTGTCTGCTATTTACTTTCCGTTTATTTTATTTTGTTGCATATATATGCTGCAGTTGTATAAAAAATATGGATCTTTCAAAGAGAATTGTTATATTATTATATTCGCAGAAGGGGTGCATTACAGTAAAATAGCATTGTCTTTTACTAATCTGAAGGTTCCATCCCAGCTCAAGTCCAGAACACGTCGAACCCGGGAGGAAAGAAATCCGATGCCAAGGCGGTGGCGAATGTCCTCGCGGCTCGAGGTATAACCGTTACTCCAGCTGCAAATAAAAATAAGACAAGTGAACAAAACAAACAGCAAATACCTTCCCAGCAGCAGCAGAGGCCATCACCTTCACAGCAGCCTTTAAATGTTACAGCGCTCAATCTGAATTCTGCTATTTCTATCATACCAACTAGTTCACAAAGAAAGCAACAAGAAGGGCAGTTTGCTGTTCCACAAAACAAGCAAAACAAATCGCCAATCAATGACCAAGTCGAGCGACCTCCAAGACCACCAACAGTGGATCTAACGCAGGATACTCCACCGCAGATGCCAATAGTTAGACGTGGTCGACCGCCTAGGTGAGAATTGTCTATATCATCGCTTGCATGTTATTCTTATACAATTGTGCCATTAGATTTACTAATCGTACTAATTAACACAATAAGACACAATATTTATCTTTTCTAGAGCATTATTAACGTGTCAGGTATGTGATAAGAATTTTCAAAATCAAGATATGTTGACGCAGCATATGGCAACTCATCGAACGACCAGCAAATTGCTTCACAGGTGAGTTATAATTATCTCGCTCGTGAGTTTTATTTTTCTTTAAATAGTAACACATATGAGAATAGAACTGATCGATCTCTTTCTTTTTAAGGTGTAACCTTTGTCCAGCTCAATATCCCACAGTTCAGGCGTTGACAACGCACAAACAGACTTACCACAAGGAAGTTGATACCGTGGCACAAAACGGAGGCACGGAATTGGCTTTGCCTGTCGTGGATTTAAAGTCGCCACATGTCTTAAATCGTTTGGCGAACTTGGGGATTCAAAATTACATACCCTTGTCGCAGTTAAGTGCTCAAACCGGTGGTTACTTCGGCTTACCGATAATTACAATAGACGGTGCGAGAAATACAAGCAGTTGCAATCTGGGTGCGCTTGGTGCTACCTCTATATTAAGTCTCGGTCCTCTTAAACATATATCGAATGGGTAATTCGACAAATTCGCATTCGGCCTATTTTACGTGTGCAATCACACTTTCCCTTGGTTATTATTCTTCTACTAAAGTTGTTTTACTTGTTACTGTATTGTCAATGACCATGACACACGACATGTCTTGATTTCTGAAGAGAAAACCGTGATATAGTTTAAGTAAAGTCGTCATATAATTGCGACATTTTTATATATAAAGAATATATTATTGTGATATACACAATGTTCTTTATATGAGAAATGCGAGATTTATTTGTGAATTTTTTTATCTTATGAAAAGAAAATCGTTGACGGCTGACTTAGACATAAAATTTGTTAATTTATATTTATAGACTTAAAGCAATACAGTATTCTTCGCATAAAACTTTTCTGATTAAAATTATACCACATTTTGATAAACTAAGATTTTAAGGCCCAAATAATCTAGAAAATTAACCCTTTTGCTACAGCAGAGCACTAATCGAGGAAATGCTATCGTCGTACGGAAAAACCACAAGTTTTTTGTTTACTTTGCCGCGGATAAAATATTTATTTAAATTCATTACTTTGTGATAGTGCGACAGATTCTAAAATTATCTTAAATAATTTTTTTATTTGTTCTGTATAGACAAATACATATTTTGTGATCCAAACACACGTACAGTGTATTCCGAAATGTATTGATAGTACTAAAAAATCCATAGTTCACACTTAAGTTTTCAATATTATCATACATTTTGGAACATACCAAAATCATTTTTTTAAAGAAATCTTTAAGATATCTCAATATCTTCGATGTCTTGAACTTTTAAAAAATCTTTGAGACATGTTTTTTTAGCATACTTATTTGGAAACTTATTCTCATTTTAACTTTGCCCACGGTAGATAGTATCTGTTGTGCATTAAGGTTATGGCACACAAAAACTTAAGCAATAAAACATAAACAATTAAGAAATCAACATGTTGCTGCTACTTATGTTATTAACTTACAGTTCCTAACCGTGATTGGCCAATTCATTTACTGTTTACGTTTTTGTGTGTTATAACCCTTATAGTGGGTGTTCGTATGTAAGAATAGCTTAATACTCGGTGAATATGCAGAATATGCTCTGTGGCCATTCGTAGCTAAAGGATTAAAATACATACGGTATGTAATTACAAAAGGAAATCGTAAACTATGAATTATTTTGTATATTTTTTTTAATAAAGATATCAAAAATGGAAAAAGTTCTCTGCTAAACTTATATGTTCCATATATAAATTATTTAACAAAAAGTAATTGCTAAATAAGTTTTTCTTTGTTAACGCAATGCTTTAGCTTTAAGATATATCTAATAAAAAGTTTTACAATTTTCTGTCATTGAAAAATAACTACGACAGTATCAGAAATAAAAGGATTGGGTTGTACTACATAAAATTGTTGATATTTAATTAATTTGAAATTGAAATAAAATATTTCAATTATGATATTCATAGCTTGTAACACAATATCGAGCTTTATAATTTTCTTTAATCACATTAAATTGTTTTTTGTCTTCTTTATAGAAATAAGATAATTTTTTTAAAATAGTTAATATAAAATGAAAGAATTATAAATATTTTTTATATGGATTTCAAATTACAACGTAATATAAATAATACAATAACTCAAACAAATAGAAATATTAATACGATTCTTAAAGAGAACTCTGTTAGTGAAAGGACTATTCGATGATAATTGATACATTTCCTCAAAATCTCGAAAATGAATTTAGGTAGTCTCAAATCCTAAGCTTAACGATGCTTGTTTTGTTGGAATAAACTTGTTCTTTCTAAAATATAGTATTTTTATTTTGATCAATAAAAACAGCAATTTCTTATGGTACAACCTAATATATAACAAAATATTTTAAATGTGCAATATATGCGATAAACTATGCTGATGTACCTAATCAGACAGAATTATTTTGCCAGATAACAAAAAAATATTTAAAAAAATTATATCTAATATTGTTACACATCCATTTTAAAGAATTTATTTACTCTGACTGTTTGTTCAGAAGAAATTTGAGAATAGATTGAATACAAAATATTTTCACATTAAGAATGTATTTCTTTATAAAAATATAAAAAAATATTTATACAGAATATTAACATAAATTTCTGCATATTGAAATATGTGCATAAAGATTTTTCCAAAGATTTGAAAATCAAATATTTTTTAAATTTATATTACTTTTTTTTTAATCTGACGAATTTATTGATTTTTTAATCCTGATTTCAAAAAAATTTTTAATATATTCATAATAAAATATATTCTTTCATTGAACGGTTGAGATGGGTAGATACTTTTAGAAGAGATTATAATTATTGAAGCAAGCAGTTGGTACTGATGAAAAAATATCCGGAAATGTTTTCTTAAGAAAAGAAAGTTTTTATTTTGTAATTGATGAAATATCAAACTGCAACGTACTAAGTTGTACATAATTATACACTTTGTATAAAGAAAGACAAAAGTGATTAAAAATATATTCCTTTATACTTGAGATGTTTTATAAAAATATTAATATTATATGTGCATTATTATATGCAATCTTTATTTATTATCATTCCTATTAGTTACATGCAAATAAGTATTTTCATTCTTTACATATATCATTCTTTATATTAATTTATAAACTTTAAGTAATAGTCATCTGTCGAATTTATAGAAATGATCTATCATCGCGAGCGACTGATAATGAGATATTAAAATATTGTATATGTGTGTATGATAATAAAAGAATGTGTATGTATATATATATATATATATATATATATATATATATATATATATATGAATATTTCCGTCACAATCCGAATGTACAAGAAAAGTTGGGCATTGTATTGTTTATCTTCGTTTTTAAGCGGGACTCTTAAAATATATTTAAATAAATATATTTAAATGATTTTATTCCTTTGAATACAAAGCGAAATTCCAAGACGTTATTTAATCTCTCATTTTACATGTCTGCTGAGAACATTTTAGTTTCATTAGTACCTCTACGTGCAATTCTCGCCGTTAAAAAAAAAGAAAAATAATATAGACATGTTACTTTTTTCATTCGACTCTCTTATTGTAATTCCCTATCCAATAGCATTGTACAATCAAATTTGTCATTAACAATATAAGTAAGTCTGAAAAAAAATAGTCAACTATGAAAAAACTATATATACAAGATGTTTCAGATTTACCGTAGACTAATGACAGATTCCTGCTACTATTCTGTAACTTTTAACGACAATGTCGATATCATTACAGCGTCGTCACGCAGATAATTGATATGGTAAAGAAGCTGCGCAATGACACAGCGATATCGACACTGTTGTTATTAAAAATTACAGAATAGGTTTGCTGAGATTATTGTACTTATCCTGACAACACAGTTATATTGTATTGATGTATTCGAACTGACGAAACAGTTAACTCGCTTGGCAAGCAAAATACCGCATGACTATATAATAATCATATATAATAGTCGTTTTTACCTATCGTGGCTATGTAATTGGTTTTCTAATTCAGGCCAATATTGGGTATACATTGGTTTTCCAATATTGGAAAACTACGAGAATGGATTGAAATGAATTGAAGTGAATTCAGATTTTCAGAAATATTGATTCACGAATGTTAAAATGAATGCTTTTCAATCCTGAATACATTTTTATTCATATTTTATAAAAATTGTATGGAGCATATCTCTATGCCTTTCAATCTAAAAATAATATTAGCTTTTTCTATGCAAAATAACACAATTGTGAATACTGTTCCATTCAAAAATTTGAATAGGAAATACAGTTTTTCAATCCAATTGCATACAATTAAATTTAATTGAATCCAATTAAATCTAAAAAAAGTATTCGCTATATATATATATATATATATAAAATACGTATTCGGATAGAAAAAAATTTCAATCCATTTTAATCCATTCTCGTTTGATGGATAATGTATAGCCAGTATTAAGTAGAGATTGGTTTTCCAATATTGGTCCAATATTGGAAAATCAATGTATAGCCAGAATAATATAAATTATAATTTTTTGCAAAAAAAGTTATAATTAATACCATAAATTATTGTAATCATTAAAAAGTAATCCTATAAATTATCAACATACAATTCTGCATTTTTTAATAATATTACGCTTTGTAGTTTTGAAGATATTTTCATTTTATAATTAAAAATTAAAAATATTACATGAACAATACTACGAAATAACATGAATTAGTCAATAGATTAGTCAACATTTATATTGATACTTAGAAAACAAACATAATAACAAAAACAAATATAAAAAAATTAATAAACGTAATAAATACTACAAATACTAAATTGTTAATTAGAAAAGGAAGATAAAATATGCTGTGCAGCTGATTGCTGCGATAAAGCAACTAGCAGTTTTTATTCAATATACATATTTGCTCGGCGAAAGCAGGATAGTTGCTCTGCCGGCTCGAATGTGTCCATTACTTTATTTCTAGAGAAGGCGCAAGCGCATAACAAGTTTTGCCATCATGGCTTCTACGGTCTCCCTAATTATCCTCAATTGACACGTTCGTTTCAGTGGTCGATACATTTTCTTGAATGTGATCTTCAACGATGATAGTTTACGTGTATTCGAGACTTACTTTCGTTAAATGTTTATCCAATTATCCTGTGATATAACGAAATAATTAATAATTATGTCGACATAATACGCTCACTCCTTTTGTTTATGTCATTATTAAAGCTTTAGTACGTATATCAGAATATAATTTTAACATTGCTTAGTCATAGATTTGTCTTTATGTTTTACACACAGTCTATAATCATGTTATGATCAATTTGACCATCAACAAATTTTTGTGCTTTAGTGCAACAGATGAAGAAGAATGAGCTCCAGCACTCTTACTGCAAGAGCAGAGGAATATTTTTTTAATATAAATCCTATAGCTCGAAGGATCGGTGAGGATATAACAGCAACGAAGGAGGCCTATGAAGGGCTATGGAGCACCTTGAGTACAGCGGAGCGCAATCAAGCCATCAACGAGACTATAATTCAGCCTGAGATAGCTTTAAAATATACCTTGAAGAAAATCGAGTTGACAAAGGAGTTACCTGAGTGGTATCCAAAACTGCGCATACAAACTGGAATGAAATATGTCATAGATGAAACCGGTTCAGTAAGTATGGTATTATCAATGTTTATGGAAAAAAATTAAATAACAAACTGATAACTTTTTCACTGTATTACAGACGTTACGATGGCGAGATGAACACTCCGCACCATTTTCATTTATGACTCAATCACAGATGAATCTTAGTCTGATAGATTCTAACGAAGATGTGAAATCTAGGTCAATGAGGACTCATTTTGGAGAATTATCTCATTTTTCTAGTCCTGTGAAGACACAAAGAAACAATTGCTCATTAAGCGATAACTATAATTCCCTAACCAGCGATTTATTTGAAAGCGATCAGTGCAGCGATTTACTGACAAATGAAATTGACAGCGAACACTCTGACAGTATATTTGTTAAATTGATCAACAAGACTTCTTTATTGAAGTTACAAAACAATGTCGAGGATGACTTGGAAAGTTTGGTGAGAGATTCCGATACGGACAAAAGTCAATCGAATACTTTAGTGGTGACATCACGAACGAAATCGAGCGATATAAACGAATCGACCGCTCTGTTAGAAACACCCAGTTCCTATAGTAGCTTTCAGTCATCCCAACTGAATCAAGAAGAGGAAGAGAGAAGCATACCAAAGACTGGATTTGAATTTCTCGATAATTGGTAAACTCATTCCAGAAAGAAATGATTGAATTATTCAAATATTCTTCTATTATATAAAAAATATTTCCATAAAGATATGTCCAAAGAATGTATGCAGCATATATCGTTGAAGATGCCTGGCTGTGTTCAGCAGAATGTTTATTCTGCAACTGTTGTAAGTTTTTTTCGCATTAATTGGATTATACTTTTAGATCTAGAGAAATAATTTTATCTCAAGAAAACTTCCAACAATTGCAAAATAAATATTCTGCTTGACGCAACCAATATATTAAATTATTCTATACGTTACATAAAAATATGCATGTGTGTTTTGTGTAAAAGTCAGAGTTTATACGTGAAGAGAGAAGGAATATTTTTTACAGTATAGCCTTTGATAAGATTTTTTTTATGTCTATATTTTGTAATGCCCTATTTTATTTGTGTTGCATACCATTTACATGACAGATGACTCAAAGAGTTAAACGAAGACTGAAAATTTCCAAAGATACGTTCCCAAAAGATTTAACTCTACTTAGATCTTGATAGATTATATCATATATCCTTTGGATATCGAATAATGTAGCCAGTTTAGATTTGTTACCTTTTTTATAGCATATTTTATAATATAAAAATATATATAATACGTGCTTATGAACAGATAGACATGTTTAATGCATTTCGCTAATCTGGTCACTATTTACAAGCAATAATTTATCTGTTGTAAAGATTTATGTAAACTGTCTTGTCGATTGTATATCAATATACGTATATCACATGAATACGCTATAACTTACTTCTCATACATACATACATATTCATAGTACACATATGCCTATAATATTAATTATATTATAAGTCATGACTTGCTTCTTATTTCTGAAGAATTTCTTCGGTCAAATCCACCGACGTCGTCTTGGCAAAGAAACTTCGATAGTCTTTCAATTTTTCCCAAGGAAATTCGTTTAGTTACTCTTAAGTAGTCCAAAATCCGGACAACCAAACTGAAAACGTCAGGGTATATGTACTCTCTCTTTTTCCCTAGAGCGGAAACATACAATTTTATAATTGAAATTAATGAAAAAATTTTTCACTTTTCACATATCCACCTTAAGGAAAAGTACATGATCGGTACCCAAATCAGAAAGCATCTTTATTTGTTTTTTTATTACCATGGACACAGTGTAAAATAGAAATTCTTTTTATAAGCTTAAACTTATAATAAAAAAATGGTATAAAAAATAAAAATAATCACTATAAAAAAAAACCAAAAATAAACACATAATTAGAAATACTTCTAATTTATATATAATGTATATAGACTTAATTATATATATATGTAAAAATTACAATACAAATTATATATAAATTGTATATACAATCTGTTCAACAAGAAAGTGTGGATGATATTTTTGTAGAAAATCACAGTAGCATTGTCTATCTTATATCATACGTTTGAATCTTTAAACTAACCAAAACGGTGCCAAGCAATAATTGATAGTAGAGACGACTAAATCAAATATTAGATAATTACGCATTACTAAAAATCTTCTATTTTCATTTAAAAAAAAAACTTTACTTTATCTTTTATTCTTTTCAGATTATTACCCACACTTTCTTGTTGAACAGACTGTATATTACATCATGCCTTTACATTGATGCTATTATACCTTCAGTACCAGGTGATTGTATAATTGTTATATTTTCATCACCGCTGCCATTCTGAGCAATTTCGGAAGTCCGATAATAATCGAGGACATTGTTTCTTGTTTGGGAGAACGAGCAAATATTTCGTAGTTCCGTCGCCTTCATTATTTGTCTGGCCTCTGATTTGCGTTCGAAGGGTGACATCAGTATCAGACGCCGCTTTGATGATGCTCGAACTGAGACTTCAAAAATCAATAATTTTGAAACCATTTTCTGATTATAGAACTCACGTTGATATTGATATCATTTCGAAATTCACTGCTATAAGGAAGTCAAAATTCATTGCAACATATTGTGACAAAATTTTAAAGAATAATCTCCTTATCTCACACATTACCAAAATATTTCAACAATTTTCAATAATTTTTTATTTAATATTTAACTTAATATCTGAACAAATTACGATTAAAAAAGATGGCAATATTTAGACATCTAAAAGATGTCTTAATGATATCTTTATGATATGTTTTGACCCGATTTTAGACATGCGTGTTGTCTGGGTAAATTCTAGTATAGTTTAATATAGCAATAAAAAATACCTAAGTATCTAATATCAACATAATACGATTAATTTCATTATGCATTATAAACTTTTTTGTGTCTTCTCTATCTCTAATACTTTTCCGTAGTGTTACGTTGCTGACTAACTTACCACTCGTATCAATTTTATCTCCTGATGCACCCTTACATATGTTTTTCGATTCCTTCGACGATTCAGTCAATGCGGATAAACTTCTTGAAGCGATGGTTGCTTGATGATTACTGCCATTGCCATGACAGACATTTGGCAAGGATTTACCCTTCGGCTTTAACAGAGTGATTTGCGGAAAATAAGAACCTGAGAAATAGTTATTTTTTAAAGATATTATTTTTATCGAAAAGCATTAAATGTGTTACGTCCAATATATTATATAGCAATTTTGGAAGCGTCATATTTACTTTTTTTTCTTGCATGTCTTTTCACGGGACTGCAGTGTCCGTATTCCGAACATCTTTGTCCATCGATACAATCCTGATTCATCGAACGCTTTTCATCTTCTGTATTACCATTTCTATATTGTTCCATTGCTTGACGTTCCAATTCCTGCGATATCGTAATATAAACATCAACGTAATGATATTCCATGTGAGAAATTGAATGAAAATTAATCGAAAACGCGTTTGTGAAACGGAGCAGTTTACTTTCATGCATTAAGAATGATTGAAAATTAGTTCTTTTGGTTGTAAAATCGTCGTTCGATAACAATTGGAATAAAAAGAAATAAATAATTTATTACTATTAGATCTGAATGTCAAAGAATCTGTAAGATCACACGGTTTTCATAATCTTGCTAATTTTTTTAAAATTATTTCTTTCATTTTTTGCGAGGATATATGCCACAAAATGAATATTCAAATTTAGAACGTTACCTGATATTTGAGCGCTAATGACTCCTCCGAATTTCTGTATTGTTCCATCGCTTGCTGTTCAAGCTCATCGTACCTAAAAAATCAATAAATCAATCAATTGCGTTCAGCAGGAAAAGCTTTGAAACTGTTATAAAATCTTCAATGTGATTGATTTATACATTTAGATCCAGTGAAGGACAAGATTGATCATATTCAAGAATTTTATAAGTTACAAAGCTGCTTTCTCTGTTAAATACAACTATTCAAATCACAGATGAATTTGATAAAAAAAAAAATGACTTTCCTCCAAATCATCCAAACTTTTAAAAAGTTTTTAATCGAAAACTTCAATGTACCTCTTCTCGAAGACATTATCTAAGATCGCCTCGTTCGAGGCATTCGCTAGAACGTCTCTATAAAGCGGCCGCTTCGAGTTCTTGTCCTCTTCAGTGTCTAAAGCTCTGTATCTTGAGCTCTCGTTTCCATATATTCTATCCTTCAACCGGAGCGAAGTTTCAGACAATCTTTGCTGGTCTTGCGATGATTCGGCGACCCTTCTCCAGCTAGTATCGGCTCCTCTGCAGTATTCGTACTTCTCCTCAAAACTGCGCAGCTCGGATACGAGTGCGTTTACGGTCACCTCCTTCGTTTTCTTCGCACTATGATCCTTATCGAACCATTGCACCTGCACATTGTGACTGGAAGTTTTTAGGCTCTGTCTGGAATCCAGAAGGGAAGGCTGCTGAACAAGGGGCTTCGAGTGGCCTCGTCGCGTCTTGATGCTGTTCTTTGTTAGTAGTATGAGATTGTTGAAGTCGACCCCTTGATTCTTCCGCTTCAGCATTGATTCCTGGTACAGTTCCACCGGTCGCTGATACACAGGTATGGGTGTCGTTGAACTTGGCTGGGTACAAGGTAAAAATTTCTCGTACATCTGCAAAATTACGATGTATAATTTTATTTTTATTATGAGTAGCCGTGTGGAAATTTTTAATAATGATGTAACATTATTAATCTTATTCATCAATTATAATTGTTGGTATTATATTGATAATAATTGCAATGTGGAAAATAGTTGTATAATAAATTCTCTCTCTCTCTCTCTCTCTCTCTCTCTCTCTCTCTACTTATCTATCTATTTATCTATCTCTATCCTCTCTCTTTTTCTTCAAATACGAATAATATTTATATTCTAGAATGAACCTTGCATCTGCAATTTAGGTATTTTTTGGTACAAAAAATTTCACTCTCAATTTTCTTCACAATAAAGAAATCCGATTCCCTTATTGCTGAAAATTATATCTTAATAAACAAATTTCAATTTTTTTCTTTGTTGTTGCTTAAATTTTGTTAAATAAAGATTTTAAAGATTGAGTTAAAAAACAGATTGCAGACGAAAGGATTAAAAATATGATTGCAGATGATAGATTAAAAAAATTTTTTTTTCAGTTAGATATCTTAATTCTTTTCTAAAATACTTTATATAAAAAATTATGTTTATATAAAAAGTGCCTGTAAGGGACGATGGCCGACGATTGCAGCATCGTGAATTGGTTGCAGCGGCGTGCAGATTGATAGTGGTGACGAGGAAGACGCTGTCAACTGCAATTGCACTGGTGGTGCCACTCTGTGAATCCATTCTTGAGGCGAACGAAACACATTCGTCTCTGTCGCTGATAATATGGACATTCTAGCATTCTGTATCATAAAAAGAAGTTGCATAGCTAAAAGGTTTTAATAATCAATTCGTATTAATACCATAAATTATAAAAATTATTTTTTTTTAAAGCTGACTCATTAAATCAATTTTAATTTTAACGTGATACGATCGTTTTTCTTCCAACGCAACCAAGTTTTGATTGCATCGCACTATAATGAAGAATTTATCATGATATTCATGAAGATACATTTTGCATATTACGACTCTATATATATATATATATATTATATATATATTTTATATAACATTCTATGAGAGACTTCAACTTTTGATTGATCTCTTTCAAAAACATCTAACGTGATCTCGATACAAAAGACCTGTATTTAGCTGAACTTCTTGTTATTCATCTTTTCTCTTATTTCTCTAATGCGAAAGAAAAAGAGGAAAGATGATCTATGCAAGAAGTTTAGCTGAAGAGAACAGATTTACTTCTGAGAAAAGTTTACTTCTGTAAGCCGTACGTTTACTGGAAAGACAGTTGCCGCAGTCTCCTGCTGCGGCCTGTTATAAGGAAACAACTCGTTTTGGTAATTCCTGTCATTCAACGACGGGAAGTACCGTATCTGGCAAGTCTTGCGCTCTTTGTCATTATTCAAGTTATATGCTATCGGGGATAGGCTCGACTTCGGGAAGAATTCAGGCACTTCGGCGCTCAGAATCGGTGGCGGCGGCGGTGGTGGTGGTAATGGAGATGATAATAACGGTTTTCGCTGATATTCTCGCATGATCAAGGGTTGATACTGCAATGCGCAGTAGAACTGATGATGTTGGGTGACAGGCTGCGTCTGTCGTGCGGTACGTGATTGCTGGCTCTGCTGATGGCATCGCTGCTGCTGCTGCTGCTGTTGCTGCTGCTGCTGTTGCTGCTGTTGCTGCTGTTGTTGAATCTTTTCGGAGTTCCATATGTCGCGCACAGCGTTGCTCTCGATGCGGAACTGCAGCTGCATTTCCGCGGCAGTTTCGGCGGTGTATCGGCGATGACGGGCAAATATTCTGATTGATTTTCCTAATAGCACATAATGCGTATAGTAAGGAATGAAAGAAGCGTAAGACGATAGCATTTGAGTCTTTAACTTAGATACTAGTTTTAAGATGCTAGCGTTTTAATTATTCTGTGTATCTCTAATATATCTAATATATCTCAACTTCTCAACAAGAATTTTTTGTAATAATTATAGATATAATTTTATTTTTAATTAAATTTAGGTAGTATTAATTAGGTGTTAATTGTAATTGTTATAATTATAAATACAAATGTTTATTGTATTATAAAATATAATAAATTACATAAACGAGTTTTTAAACAAAAGTATTCGCTGGAACGATTGTAATAATTATTTTATTTTGCACTTCATTATAAAGTTATTGCGAGCGTCATTTGTAAAAAAAGTAGCATACATTTTTATTACAAACTTGCAACAAATAATAAATGTGATTAAAATAATTATAATTTGTTAATAAAATCTACTTCATTAATACTAAAATTAGAATATTAATAAGATAATATGTAAATAATTAATAAATAAATACAAAAATATATGTAATTAATAAAATAATTTTTTAATAAAATAAATAACAATTAAAATACAAATGAAAAGACAAAATCATTATTTTTATTATTTATCGTATAAAGATCTGTACAGATGTATGATTTATAGCTTTGTAATTTGTATCCTTATTAACGTGTAAGATTACTGCTTACCGCCCTCGTCAGATTTATTCGAAAGTAATTCATCGCGCAATCCAATTTTTCTGCTCCCTTTTGGACTGGTCTTTTGACGTCGCTTTTTCGAGCTCTCGTTCCAGTCCAATTGGAAGTTCGAGCAAGCGACGGTTTCATTATCCCTCCTCGCGGTGTTACTCTTTAGTATTTGTATTGCTGAGCTTTGCAAATTGAAAGTACTAATTAACGAGATATTAAAATCTAATCGCAATAATAGATTGTATTTAGAATTTTCATGTCTGCGATACAAACATTGTTGTGATAAATATAAAACTCAGAAAGAAATAAAAATTGGACCAACGTCGATTATACACGTCTTAATATCGATGTCATTTCAATTAATATTTCTCCCTGAGAATGAATCAATTGATTTTAATTAAATTGCAATTAATATATTACATCTTCAATCGCTAAATAAGATTTATATATCATCCTTAATTAAATATTACAGCGTAGATGGGTCATAATTCGTGATAATTTCTTTATCACGAAATTGTGTAGAAGGAAGAACTTCGCGGATCGTAAAAATAACACCGAAGTGCCGAAGCGAACTAACGGTTCCCGATGTGATCGCGTGCAACTCAGCGAAATTAACCGGGCGAAGTGTTCTTGAACTTCAGGAAGCATCCACGGTTCCACAGCCTCCGTAGCTGAACGGAAGTGGCAAGGCACGCTACCCGACGATTTACCGTCGTCCGGCCTGTACGTTCTCTCATGCTGCTCGTCGTACTCGTAATTACCGTATTTCGCCAAGCGCGATTCGGAGATGACGTCTCGAACGAGTCTTGGACGATAATCACCATATTCCTCGTACTTCGCGATTATTTCGCAACTCTGGCATTAAACGCGCGCGATAAGTTATCATTATGTCAAAATAAATTCTTCTTCCTCTCATCGCGAAAAAATCTGTACTGTTACGATACGCGCGAGTTTTTTTTACTTTCAACAATTCACAACTATATTTTTTACTGTCTTCAATAAATGAAAATATCAAAATTTGTGTTTGGTTCTAAATGATCCAACATAATTTCCGTTATCTTCAGAAAGAATATCTCTGTCAATTCAATGACAGAGTTGAGATTAATTTTTTATTATTGCACTGGATTGTGATAGAATTTTCTTTTTCACTGTCACCAAATAACAAACATACCTGTTTTATTTTAAATACAAAAAGTGTATACTAGTTTTTGCTGTAAAAAAAACAAATTTTTGATAGTTCCTTTCTTCTTTTACGCATAAAGTGTCCTCAGACAGTGATAAATGATAATAACATCGATAAAAAAATATTTGGAAAAACATATATAAAATGCGGTACTTTGATGCAGTATTTATGAGATAAGTATCTGTTGCGCGTCTCACTTGAATCCAAAGAGAGTGATTTAACTTTCGAAAAGGATCCTCGGGATCGAAGGTCCAAGTCTTGTCGGCGATCAAACTAATGTTTGCGTAAGCGCTATTCAGTAGCTCGTCGTATGACGGAAGTGGAGATATCATTATCTGTACATTATAACCGATTATATCGGATTCCGGCAGCCGCGAGGTCGGTGAAATTTCTGCGTGGAAAACGCAAACTTTCTCGTGTCTCGTTCACGAAGCGACCGAAAATTCAGTTTCAAGTCAACAAATAATAATAGACGCTAATATATATATAGTAAAAAATAATTAATAAGTAATTTGACGCGATGAAATAGATCGGTTTTAACCGTTTTGACAAAAGTATCGAAACGTATGCAAGAGATGAAGATCGAAGCCGTGATCGAGATTTATCGATGTAACAGATAAGTAATGAGCTTTTTTCAGACATTTTCAATAATGCGGGCCTTGTAATTTGTTTATCACTCTAAACTTTAGTTAAATTTATCTAAGTCGAATTGGACTTATATATTTAAACTTCTCTGATCTTTTAATTCTATCTCTTTATGAATAATAATAAACGTGAAAATTATGCGATACAAATTGTTAAATTTGTAATGCTAAATTATACTCAATTTAAGTTAATTTTTAATTATTATAAACCTACTTAACATTATATTAATTTAATTAAAATAATGAAATTAAATAATTTAACTCAAGAAATGTGTGGATTCAATAAAAAATTTAATTCAAATGTAATGTTTTTATTAAATTTAGATCTATATATATTATATATTCAATTTTTTAATTTAAATTTCTTTCAATTTTATAGGAATTTAAATTTTTATAGAAATTTTTATAAGCATCCATTTGAACGCTTATTTCAATCACACGTTGCGTATTAAAATAACACATTTTGACACATGCGAAAGTTAAAAATAACAAAATACTTAAACTAAAATAATTAGTTTAAATCTAATCCTCTAATGTTTAACAGTGAAAAAACGAAAAATAATTTTTTGCGTGACGCATGATTTTCGTGTACGTTGTATAGAGCGTTACTTTCATAGAGATATTTAAAATATCAAAAAATCGTCCTGTATATCAAACATAAAAATTTAGAGGAAGAGGAAAAGGAAATAAATAAGACAGCAACTTTTACAAATCTGTCATCTATTTTACGATCGATGATGATAGCACGCACTCCCTGGCACTCACATATGCATTCGCACTTTTGTACAATTCACACGCGCGGTTTTATTTACAAGATGAAATCAGGCCGAGGACAGATCTCATAATTTACAAAATAAACGCGTAAGACGATCGTCGAGGAGGTCGCATCTCGCGATCGCGAAACGTCATTGGAAAGAGGAGAAAATCAGTCTGGTAGTCTGCCGCCAGCAGGCTACTTTCAGGAACGCTACGATTAGACGTCGTTATTATTCTAACGAGCACGAATTGAGCACGAATTTGACACGCCCGCGGATCACGTTATCATCCGCATGGCAGATTCCACTACAGCCCGATAATTCCGTTTATCAGCGGCATTTCGTTATCTTTGTAATCTAAGAATTGCAAAGTAGTTTGTTGCTTGTAATGTGGGAAGACGAAACTCTCTCCCTTCTCTTCTAATCAAAACGCCGTATCTTGTCGTCGAATGGCTGAATGACAAATGCTATACAATATTTAACACAAACAAGGAAAATTTAACAAAACAGTTATTGTTTGGAATATTCTAAAGTCAGATAATATAATCGATATAATTTCCAGATTTAATCCGGATTTATTAAGACAATTGATTTTACGATTTTTTAATCCTCCACCGGCAATATTAGACTTTAAAAGTATAGTCACGTCGAAGTTTAAGTAAAAGAATTTTTGTTATTATAAATTCAAATAAATTTAAATCTATAAAAAAGTGAAGTAAAATTAAATTCAACTTCTATGATTTAATACAAATCTATTGTTAAAACTTTGATAAATATATAAAAATTTTATCAGATCTTTAAATCTTTATATGATTTGGAACAATATAAAAATTTATATTAAAATTCGAAGACTCAGGTAGACAAAGAGTAAAAAATTTCACATTGCCGATAGAGATTTAAGAATGATGATTCTATCATCACAAACAAAAAGATATAAGGACTAGTTCTGTCCCACACAGCACAGATCTTTAAACGACATTTCCAAAGGCATTTCCAGAGGACATCTATATATATCTTAAAGACGTTCTCAGGACATCTCTTGAATAAAGTATGCTGTGTGGGCGTATATTACAATATCAAAATCCAAAGTCAATTACAAAACAGCGTTCCTATTTAGTGAAATTGCACTTTTAGTAAGTAACAATAAAAGTCGTGATTAATTAATCACTAATATTTTTATCTTACTTTTATTTTTCATTTAACTAATAAAAAGTCAATTTTCGAGACATATAAAAGGATTAAAATCTAATTCACACCCGTATAAATACAACCCGTATAACATTGTCATATAAATTAATTTATAACAAATTTTACAGTCACGTATCCCGAAAATCAATTCATTTTGCAATTTCAATAAATAGTCTTTTAAGATTCTCGATTAAAATATTAAAAATCCTGAAATAAATGCCACTTAGCCATTCAAGTAATCATTACGATATGTACGACTGTATCGAGTATGTATCTGGCACGACAGCTTAAGATATATGTATACGAAAGTCGCTAGTTAACAATTATAATTGGACTGTCTCGATATCCAGTCGCACATATTTCCGTCTCACCGGCGGCAGATAAATCGTCGTAATTAAAAATGGCATTTAAAGTAATCTCGCGTGATTGCATTTCGTATTGAATATCGCGTACGATCGCTCGAAACGTGCAACATGCAAATTTAACATCGACATTTAATGTCTAAAATTAATATTATTTGTAATATTAATAATTATCGATTATTTAACATCAATTAAGATAGTTTAAAATCTTAATATTAATATTATAAATAATATTAACTTCACACACGCGCACACACACACACACACACACACACACACACACACACACACACACACACACACACACACACATACACATACATTTTTCATCTTATGGAAAAATATTAGATTAGTGAAAAAAAACTTATTAAAAAACATAGCGTTGCAATATAAAAATCGAACAGTTTTCCAAGTTATTTCTAATCATTTTTTCGTGAGTCTAATAATATTTTTCTATAAGGGTCGATTGTTTATAATACATGATATCATCGTAAGAGAATATTTGCAGTTCGATCGATCGTACCGAGGGGTAAATATTACACGCTCCGCGCGAGCGTAATCATTTTGATTAGACACGTATCATCAGTATTTACAAAAAAAAAATTGCGAGATAAAGAGTACAATAGAAAACAACGAATTTCTCCCGTGCACGATGGGAAAAATACGGACGAGTCTCTTCGAGGAACGTTCCTCTCTGTTTTATGGCAAGATGGTCCTCCGATTCGATGTGGCACCTCACTGCAACTTCTAAACGTTGCAATGACTTTTTATGATATTTTTCGCTAACATTTTTTTCAATGTGTCCTCATATGACTCAAAACCACGTTCGATCTTTCAAGCTCGCGAGACTGGATGTCACTATTTATGCTATCAATTTACAAACGTTCGACTAAACAAACTAAACAAGCAGCAAAACAATTCGATAACATTCCTAAGTGAAGCTCGCACATTTCCTTAGGTCGAGTCTTTACAATTTGCCCGAAATAAATCTCACAATCATTAAACTACTATTGTTCACTAAATTGTCCCGGCATCATACCTAAGGATCCGTTTCAAACGTATTCCTCAGACGGTTTGGGGATATTCGCCGGTAATCTGGGTACTCGACTGGTACTGTCCGGCAGTTCGGCGATGTCGATAAACACGCCAACGAGGCTCTCAAAGTTGGGTCCCCAGTTGAGCAGGTAATCCCAGCTAAGAGCATCCTCGGCGGCGGCGGTGGTGGTAGTGGTGGTAGTAGTGGGCGAACCATTAGTGGCGTGGGTGCCATAGAGGAGGCCGCCCATATGGGTCGATAGGTCGTCGTCAGAGGCGACGAGGGTGCTAAGGGAGCCGCGAAATGAACTGTCGAAGCCGTCGTAGTTGCCAACGTTCGGCGGCAGTGGTGGTTTCGACTGCGAGGATTCAACATTGCTCCTTCCCTGCGGACTGCTCCTCTCGTCATTCTGTTTGGCGAACAGGTTGTCGGACCTCTTGTCGCCCACTAGTGACCCGTTGTCGTATTCAATCTCCGAACACGTGAAGCTATCATTACCACTCTCGTCGGTAGTTGACGAATTTCGTCGTTCGAGCCTCTCTACCGGAGGCGTATGACGTCGGTGATGATGAAGAGGCCCATGCGCAGGTGGGCCCCTGGCTTCGCTGGAGGAGCTCACGGCGTCCAGAGTAGAGACCAGGCTGGACGTTCTCGGACGAGAATTGAGTCGCTCAATCTCTTCCGCTGTGAGACCCATTGGGCCCGATGACACATTATTCACAGAGTTTTCATTGTTGGACTGAGGGGCCTTCCTGCTGGCGGTCGAGCCTGATAATTGACTCATGATGGGCGAGTTCAGACTTCTCTCGCTGTTAGAATTTAACGCGTCCTTGCCGACACCGCCGGATGAAGACGTGGTGGCCAATAGCGCACTTTGCAGCGGTTTTCCACTGATGTCGTGCAGCGTGAGAATCCGCGGTTGTTGTGCAGATAACTCGCTACTGGGAGATAATCTCGCCAGAGGAGTGCTCTGGAGCAATTTTGGCGCTGGTCCAGGTGGTTGGTTCACGTTGGGTGGTGGCATAGCTCGTGGTGGAAAAGGTCCGTTATGACGATGTTGTTGTCCCGTGTGTTTGTGATGATTACCATAATTACCTGTACAATAAATAATTTCTATTTAAGTCAATTTAAATAATTTTAAATATATAAATATATACGCCTTTTAATAATATAATAAAATACGCTTTATTATATTATTAAGTAAGATTTAAAACACGTTATTCTTGCACTTCAGTTGACATCAACTGAAAGGAGTATAACATTGATGTTATATTACCTTTAATTACTTTAGTATCGACTGGAACTAAACATTAAAATGTTTGTCTCTAATAAATGATTAGTCCTCTC